CTTGACCAGGTGTCTTCAGATTGGCGAGTCCAGTTGAACCATGAAGGTCAGCATCAATGTTGAATCTCGTTAAACCCTGGGCTGTTGATTCTAGAGAAGTGTGTGGCGCTGCACTCTGTTGGCTGCAGTTCTCATAGTACTCATTAAGTACTTTTGTCAAATCCTTCCAGACCTCTCCTGATGCGTTCTGTCGTCTTTTGTTTTCTCCCTCCTCTTCTCTTCTGCAGATGCTCGCTCTGGAATCAAGCGTGGTGAAATTTATATCCCACCTATTTTAACCACTGTGAGGAAACTACATTTATCTCCATCTGGCGCCAAGTTAATAAGTACGAAAGAAAATACTTCATACTTCTTACCATTTTCATCCAACCGTGAGGCTATATACTCAGGAACTGCTAATAAACATCGTAATGTTATGCTTACCAGTGGCTGCGTATACAACGAACTTTATGTGCGGTCAAACCGTTACCGTTATGTAGCTTGTAGGCTCCTTGTTCGAAAAGCCACTCATGTTATACAAGTTCTGCAGTTTTTGTGCTCATACTAAGTTTTGAGCGCTACTTGGCATCACTTGCTCCTTTGTAACGTGGGCAGTGAATCTTGTGTGCCGAATTGCCATTTTCCCCTTGTTGGTTTGCCCTCATCTTCGTTCATTGTTTTATGCGTAAAATTTTATTAATTCTGACTCAGTGCAAAGTCTAACTGGGCCACTTATTTAAAGCAGATATTCCCCTGCCTAAAGGTTATAGCACAAATTTATCCAGACGATCTTTGAGAGTCCATGTGGTGTGCATTTTCATCATTTTACTGTTGTTAAAATGAATTATCTCCAGCAAGGTATGTGACAATTTTTACGTTCCTTTCCTTTGGGAAATGCAAAAGAAATTCATTCTCGCTGAAAACGTATATAACAACAATAACTTATTCCTGAATTACTGATGCATTTCATTTTTAGAGATATGGTTACAACAGTTAGCGGTGGAAAATCTCCGACAATATTTTCTTTCTCGGAAAAGTTTTTTATCATCTCTTCATTCCAGGTAGTGAAAATCCCTAGTCCAAAGAAAAGAGAAAACTTCACACCACATACGAATGGTGCACTTTAATCTAAATTCAGAATTTTTGTTGTTTTTAAGTTACCTGGCAGAAATGATAGTCATGTCTAATGAATATGTAAAATCATCACTCGAAAAGAAGAAGTAACTCAACAATTTCTTGCTCGAAAAAAGTAATGCTGGATAGATTACTCAAGTGCTTCAATTTGAAGGATCATATATATTGAGCGAAACACCGTGGCAGATTCAATGTGTAGGGACCTTTTATATCCATTTTCCTGTTCTGTTCTGTACTCCAATTCTATTTATATATACCTGCTAATTATCTACGGGTGGTGTAGCTTTGCCAGCCAAAAGGGTGAGACACCTGCAAACCGGTGGGTGCTTATACTCGGAAGAATAAAGTATTATTGCTATTGTTAGGTAAAATGACGAAATTCGCCTCTATGTCACTGGAAATGATAACCACCTGACTGTGAATCGCACGAAGTTCGTTTTGTCCGGACCTTGGACGGTGCACTTAGCTTCGTGAACCATGCTGTGGAGCATTTTTCTCATTAATAACTTGCTTTTATTTAACTGCTTGTAGTCCTTCATTGCCTCATTGAGGAGAAAATTCACTGGGAGTAAAAACACTGAAATCCATCGCACCATATTATTAAACGTAGAGGTCCACCATCCAGGTCGACCTGATCAGTCCTTCATTCATATGGAATTCTAGTGATCTCAACTATCACCACATACCATGTCATCACAGCTCTATGAGGTGAGCACGAAATTCAAGATCATGGTTGTACCACCCACCGTACCTTCGTGAATATTCGATGGTTCAAACAATGACTGAATAAATCCCAACCACAGGCTGAACCTGGTTTAATCTGCCGAACAATTATGTCGGCGTTTATCGTCTGCATAAAATTAGCTTCCTTTCTTTAAACTCGCCTCCTATGTGCCTTAAATGACGACGTCCAATGTATCGCTTGTTATTGAGCGTAACGATCAGTTCATATACCCTGTGTAATCGAACCTGTAAACTTGTTTGTTTTCACGCAGCTGTACGAAATATGTATATTATAATTTTCAATGGAGTAAATCTACGTTGCCGTAGACTGTGGCATTTAGGTGCTAACTGAGAAGCTGGAAATGCTTGAATTTAAATATTCGCCAGGGTAATATGATTATTTGGATGCTCATTAATTCCTAAATCATAGAATTGAGTTATCTTTGGTCAGCGAAGCCACATCTATCCAGAGAAACGCCTGACTAAGAGCAGGGATAAACTTGTTGGCTACTTTTGACACAAACACCGAAGTGTCAATTTGACGATGCCTTCAAACCAGAATTTCCCATGCAGCACTCATAGTGCAAGAGAAAGTATTTATTTGTTCCATGCTACTGGATACTCTAGTTTTCCTATCCACCAATTTCGGTGGTGCGCTATCGGTTAGATAAGACATGCATGAGAGCAACTCTTCTCCCGACTGAACGTTGCCCCAAGATTCAGGTTAGCTGAAGTGTAGACTGCCTATCCTCACAGGCTCTATAAGAGCCACTTACTCGTTTCTAAATGACACCTACAGAGTTTGGTGGAACTCGACGCTGTGGTAGAAAGCTGGCCCAACATTCCTCATATATCCAGTTCATTATCTCAACTTGTTTCGGTCAAATAATTGCTAAAACCATTAACCGGGGCAGCATACGTCTGTTACATCGTAAAGGGCCCTCCAATCCACCAGTACTTGAATATGGCACGGCCGTCTTCAGCAATATGTATCCTATGTATGCATATATGTATGTATGTATGTATGTATGCATGTATGTATGAATGTATGTATGTATGTATGATAGGATACTAATTGAGAATGTTCAAAGAAAGTTCACCCGCTATGTACTGGCCGTCTCGAAGAACTTGATCGTGAGGGAAGGTGTAAGAAACTGAAGATTGACCCACTTTGGCTAAGACGCCTTAAGCTCAACCTTAACCTATTCTTCCGCCTTTTGCATAGCATTACTCACGCCTGTTGCGCTCCTACTTTTAAGCCTATGTCCTCATATAGTCTACGCAATCGTGAATGCACAGTACCTGTGGAAAAGCGCCGTCTTAAACTTAGGTCACGATCCTTTATGTTACAGCACAGCAAGTTATGGAATAAGCTTCCACATTTTATTCGCTCTTGCATGTCTGCGTTTCAGTTTTGACGTCTACTCGACGAATTCCCTCTTTTCACGGATATCTACAAATTTCTTGACATTCATATTATATCCACAAATACGAAGCATAATGGAGCAATCGGCACATAACAATGGTCAGGCCATTGCGTCCCCTGTGTACGTTTTCAGACCTCGAAATGTAAGAATCGGTTTCATTGAAGCCCTGCGGTTCCTTTTATGTAGATGGCCTTACGATTGCACACAAGGGTATGAATACTGGCTCCTCTCCGTATAATGAACTAAAAGAATACCGTTTATCTCTCAGAGCCACGATGGTGCATCCCAAATACAGAGACTTTCAAGAACCTTACAATGGAAGGACTATGTAGTTGACTTCACACATATGAGTGAAAATGTACATAAAGTCCGAATAAGTCAAAAAATAGTGACTTCTCTCTTCTCCGTTTCGTGGGGCGAATCGTTAGGAACAGTGGTGGTCCCGGACCAGCAGAATCCTGACACTCCTCCTTGCTGCTTAGAAATCGTGATTCTGGCTGCTTTTGATTGTCCAATAACGGTGGAGCGGTAAACTGGGAGGAGTATCATTTCTACTTTGGCCATGACGTCTTGGTCTTACTTGATTTGCATGTGTCCTTCGAATTTCTGGACCAACTTGGGCCTCGTTTAGTACCCTCCCGATTTCATTTCCAGCCACTCCGATTTCCGACAGATTTTTGCAGTGGTAGCTTCTGACCGAAACCTTATCACCAGGACGGAATTTCATTTTCCGTCGTTGTCATTCGTTCCCTACTGCCTTAACTGCTGGCAACGTGGGGGCAAAAATCGTTCCTGTTCGGAGTGTTTCTATAGTCCACAAGAAATCTGTCGATGGTGGTTCTATCGTGTCATTTTCTTTCCCCTTCAATAAGACACGCTTAAATGTATCCACGAATCTTTGCACCAGGACATTTGGCTGTGAGTGGCGAGGTAGGGGAATGTATGCGCTGGATTGGCTAAAAACCTAGAAGTGCTGTTGTCTACCATTATTATTTGCTACGGTTTCAGAAGCACTAGGGAGGCTAAACAAGCTAGCTGGCTAGGCTATTGCGGCTCCTATTGTGTATTGTGGCATATAGAAAGTTTCAGACCAGTTGCTACGCATATCAGCCACAATAATAAACATTTTGCCATGTATTGACTCGGCAAAGTCAGTATGAATCCTTGGCCATGGAGTTTCGGTTATCGGCCAGGTCAGAAAGCCAGGGACGCTGGTGGCTTTCCGCCTACTAATATGCGGCCCAGACGACTCGTCACATCCTTCTATTTCTTGATCCATATCAGGCCAGTACGTTCAGCTGTGTGCCGAGGATTTCATCCCAGTCATACCTAGATGACTATTACGAACCTGGTTCAGCACATTTTGAATAAATAAATAAATAAATATTTTTACTCTCAGGTTACGGATTTAACATGGGAGGAACCGGTTTATAGACATCATCAAATTGGTAATTGCAGAGAAACATGAACGTTTTGAGTAGTTTTGAATGGTGCCTGGGGAGGATATTAAACTCTATCATGACATCAGGTGTCTAGATGTTATGAAAATGGCAGGAAAACACCACTTTACAGTGCATACATATCGTTCTGAGTTTAGATCATTCCTACTGACGATTCTTTTTTCACATCAAATGGCGCAATATTCAGTGTCTGCGCTATGAGTAGTCGATATGATTGACCTGCCTGCAAGACCCAGTGTTTCGTCGGATAAACGTCCATTTCAACAGTGCTTCATATGTTCTTAGCTTTATTGACCAACAATAACTTACTTCATGATTTCAGGGATAAGTAAGTATCCATACAATCATTTAATAATAATAATAATAATAATATATTTCATGCAACAAAGGTTACATGAATACAAACCAGTTTACAGGTTTGATCACTTTGGTAATGAGAGATGACTATTATGTACAATGTTATGCTATACATTAGATGCTGTGATTTATGGCATATAGGAGGCATGTTGAAGCAGGCTCAGTTCGAATTTGAAGATTATCCGGTCATCGTTTGAATCATCCAATATTCTTGAAGGTGAGGCCGCATCACAGTCATGACCTTGGGGTGTGCGCGTTCGTCATCAGGTTTCGGTGCCAATATTTCCCGCTGACGAATGCGATTTGTAGGATTCCATTTGAATGCAGGACTGGTTAAGTAAATCTGAAAAGTGAATAACAAAAGCGAGCAGCAGGCGAAATTTGTAACAGGAGCACAAAAATACGCAGGAGTAGATCGACCATGATACATCTGGGTGAGTTTGTACTGACTATTAAACTTACTTGAGGAAGTGTCCAGAACCAACTGTTTAGAGGTAAGCTTAGGTGGAAGAAGATGAAGGTGCGCACGACAGTAATGAAAGTCAGTCTGAAGCTGAAGATATCACTACGAAATAGAAAGATTAGAGGATATTTGACCAGGTATTAACTTGTTATATACCTATGTACAAGCGTATGATGAAGTTATAAACATTTAGGTGAAATTCGTGGTTTTTTTTTGTTCTTAGGACCACCACCCTTTATCTGGTCACGAGGGGATGATCATGGTGTTGCCTGTTGAGCATTACCATATCGGGTCTACCGAAACTATGTTGGTGCAGAGTACTTAGATGTAAGTACTGATGACAAAGGGCAAATAATAAAGAGTTGCATGCTATGAAAATGCACCGACAGACAGTTCTTTTATCTTTTCGGAGTAGAGAGATTACTTTAAGGGGCGATTTTTAGGAAATAGGTGTTAAGTCGTGAGATCGGTTAGGTTGTGAAGAAAAGTAGGTTACATTTGAGTATCTAATAAGTTCACTGTAGCATATCGTGTCGCACTCCGCTTCCTGTTCACTCTTGGTCATTTTTTTTCTAAGAAATTAGATTTTAACTTAACTATTGCGTTTAGTTTTCGGCATTGTATACTTATGTCATTGCTGTTAGTCTCCCTTGAGTCTAGGTACCAGTAGTACCTTAGTGCATGGCATTACCGTTTGTGGTTTGGCCGTCAACGAATTGATGAGATTCGTTAGATAGGAGGAATTTACTAAGTAGTCGTTGAAACTGGCCGAGCGAACGGCATGCTCGTATAGGAGCGGGAAGTTTGTTCCACAGCATACTGTATTGCGTTATGAAAAACCTACATCGAAGTTTTGAGCGATACTTATTTATTGGGATGATGTTCTCGCTATTACGCAGATTATATGCCTGTGTTGTTTTAAAAGTGACAGCACATTTCGTTTTAGGGTTTGTAAATAAAAGACGAAAAAGAAGTGTTAAGTTGAGCTTCAGGCGTCTCAGCCAGAGTGATTCTAGTCCTAGTTTTTTGCATCTTGCTTCGTAAGGAAGTCCTTCGTTATGTATTAGTAGGCGCCGAGTAAAGTTCCGTTGAATGTTCTCTACTCGAATTCTGTCCGACACATTCATGCTACCATAGATAACGGTGCAGTACTCTAATATTGGGCGAACCATAGCCTTGTACAGTATAAGTTTTGCCTCAGGTATGAGTATGTTTCTGTGTAGAAGACCGATGAGTCTTCTGCCCTTGGAAACTACTGAGTCTGCATACTCCGTAAAAGTCAAACTTCTGGAGTAAGTGATTCCGAGGTCTTTCACAGTGTTGTATACCTGCAGTGCAATATCACCCAAGTGTAGCGTTACTTCTGGGTGGGATTTATTGAAATGGAGGATGCCACTTTTATTTGGGTTTAGAGGGAGCTGCCAGGTCTCGCTCCATATGAATATCCTCTTCAGATCTTCTTGTATTTGAGAGAAACCCTGTGTTAGTGCTGCAGGAGAAAAGCTGTAGACTATCTTCAAGTCGTCAGCGAAAAGGTAGGGTATGCCATTTCGGATAACACTGCAGATATCGTTTACATAGATTAGGAAAAGTATCGGTCCTAGCACACTACCCTGGACGACACCACTTTGTATAAGTCTAGGGGTGGAGTAGCAATTACTGAATTTTACTACTTGGAAGCGACCCTCTAAAGATGTTCTGAGCCAGGACAGTAACGGGTCTCGGAAACCATATGATTGCAACTTAGTGACCAGGCGTTTGTGAGGCACCTTATCGAATGCTTGCTTGAAGTCTAAGAAAAGGGTAGTTACAAATAGGCCTTGGTCACGCTTGCTTGTAACGTTGTCTAGATAGTCAAGATAGCTTGTAGTGCATGACCGGCCTTTCAAGAATCCATGTTGTGCTGGTGAGAGTAATTGGTTAGTCGTCATATAGTCGACAACTGCTTTCACAATCACCTTTTCCATAGTCCTGGATACTACTGACGTGATGTTTATAGGTCGGTAGTTTTCTATATTAGATGTTGGTCCACATTTATGCTTAGGACATATGTATGATAGTTTCCAGTTCTCAGGGTAATTGCCACTGGAGAGGGACGTATTAAAGAGCTTCAAGAGAATCAGCGGTATATCTTCGCCACCTCTTTTTAACAAGATGGTTGGAATTCCATCAGGCCCCGCACTGTATGAGGTTCGAAGTGATGCTATAGCTAGAGAAATGTTTTGTTTAGAGAAGAGCACTGTACTTATGGAGTGAGTTGGTGTTGACGGTGCACCAATGACTTTTATTTCGTCCTCTTGTGTAAAGCAGCTAGCAAACTGGTAACCGAACAGCTCGCTGATTTGTAGTGGGTTATCGTAGAGGATGCCGTTGTCCATGATTAAACTAGGGGTACTATTTCTGGAGCTACTTATCCGGGTTTTCATCAGTCTCACTAGTGCTTCTGTATTACTAGTTTTACTACATTGGATGCGTTCTTGTTTAACGGCTTCTATTACTCTTTCTGCCTTGAATGTGTCGTATGTGTCTTTGAGTGTGACAAGCGACGAAAAGTCATTCGACTTATAGTACTCTCTGACATGGTTTCGCATGCGGATGCGTACTTTCTTTGGTATATAGTCAGCTCTGTTTTTCTTAATTTCTCTTCGGAGCGGTGGAGCAACATAGTCTTGAGCTGTGCCTATATATTCATAGAATAGATCACAGAGTTCTTTGGCTGAACTGTTGGTAAAGTAGGGGCTCCAATCTAGGCAGCGCAGAAACGATTGTAGTTCGTCCCATTTGGCATACTTGTAATTTCTAGTTAGTACTGTTCCTGACTTTTGGGCCACTTTTGTGCTGGTTATATTGAAGTATCCATATACAACCTTGTGATCGCTACCTGGAAGTTGTGTACCCACTTGGAGTTTTGTGGGTGTGGTTCCGTTTGTGAAGACTAGGTCCAGGACACTATTGTACCTGGTAGGGTGTTCCACATGTTGTTGCCAACCCTCTGTTTCAAGAATGCTTATGAATTTATCAAAGCGCTCTGGATAGCTAATTGGTCGCCACTTTATATCTGGCATGTTAAAGTCACCACATATAATTTTCGCTGTGTGTGGTAGTGTTGCCACACGGGCGAACACGCTTGTTAGCTTGTCGTCGTATTCGACTGAGGAGGAAGGGGGCCGGTAAATGCATCCTATTAGGAGGGAAGTGGAGCGAGTAAGTTTTGCGATAATCCATACTGAGTCGTCAATCTCGTTTAGCTCAGATGTAGGGCACTGCGTAGCAGTGATGTCAGACTTTACATAGATAATGCACCCTCCTCCCCTACCATGCAGTCTATCCTTCCTGAACAAGGAATAGTTGTCAATGGAGATCTCTGCGTCGCAAATATCATTGGTACACCAAGTTTCTGTAACCATTATCACGGACGGACCACTTATCAGAGATAGCAGCATAATCTCTTTCATTTTGTTGCGTATAGAGCGGGCGTTAATCAGGCAAAACGAGAGCGAGTTAATAGTACAAAAGTGTTTAGATATATCTCGGAGAAAGTCAGCACTTTGGTACGTTTCTTGGGCGTCCTTTGCGTACATCGTGCTAGCGATGTCATGACCTTTTGTACAGGGTGACGATTCGGTACTGTTTACCTCGGAAGGAGCGAGGTATTCACTACATTGTGATTGGTATAGAGACTGTTGGTCAGGGTAGAGAGCAGATGATCCGACAGCATCCGAATCACCTGCATTACTGGTGGCGTTGCAGCCGTAGGCTGTCCGAAAAAACCCTGTTCATAAGAAGTAACGGGGATTGATAAGTTGTATGGCACACCTGTCCGCTGGTTGCCGTATGCATTTTGGTCATAGACAGATTCATATTCCCCTTGATTTTCTTTAGGGGATCTGTTGTAAGTTTGTCCTTGTGAAGCGTATGACCCACGTCTTTCGGCGTATGGGTGAGGCGGAAAGCATAGTCTGTGACTACCATTTTGCTCCCTATCCAATAACTGTGATCGTTGAGGGGTCCGGCGGTGATGTGTATCTGCTAGTGACCGCGGAAGTGTTAAGAAGTGTGGGTCGCCTGGAGAGTAGTTATTTGACTTGGTCATAGGATGACCTGAGAAATAACGTTTGGCATTTTCCCTAGTGTGACTTTGCGAGGGTGCAATGGTCTTTTGACTATTTGTATTGTTTTTTCGTCTATTGGTGAGACTGCTTGATTGCCTTTTCGGCAGTTTATTTAACCTGGGTAGGTGCATAGTGGGGTTTGTATAAGAGTGTCTAGTGCTATCTGTACTCTTTATCATCTGCCTATTTGGTGCATATAAGTTTTGCACTGGCTGAGGTGGGATAGATTTGACTGTTTACGCGCTAAGCTTGGGGGCGGTCCTATGATAACAGGGTGCTTGTGGCTGGTGCTGGGTATGTTTATAGGCTGAGTGACACCTGGTGATGACATAATAACGTTTTCAGTAATTTGTTGGGTCGATAGCGTAGCACTTGGTTTGGGGGTGACCTGTGTGACGGGGTAAGACGGGGACTGGCTTTCCACTTCTGTAGACAGTGAGACCACCTTTAGGAGATCGTGTGCCTGTTTTTGAGTGTAGTTCATCGATTTGTCCAAGCCTACCGTCGTGTCATCGGCTCTACGTCTGTGTGTGAGTGGGCTAGTTTGTGGGCTTTGGTATTCCTCATTCCATTGTGTTTGTACAGTAGCCAGTTCGCTAATAGATTGTGTTGCTGTTTTGGGTACCAGAGCTTGACTAGAATTAGCAGTTTTTGGTATTTTTGTGCGACTACGTCTCTGACAAGGTGTTAAGTCTTGCGAAAGTTTGACATTTTTATATGGTGTGGATACACTAATAAGTTGCTTGGATGATAGGAAGTGTCTGGCGTGGTAAGAGCCACTAAATTTGAACAGCAAGGGGCAGGTATATTTCCCCAACTTCTTGCGGAGACGGGTAACTTGGCATTCTGTAGAAGACATGTTACAAGCCTGCAGACATAAGGCTTTTGCTTGCTTGATCGGTTCGTGGTCAGGTATGTTGTATACTAATACATTATGTGAGGACATAATCCTTTTATTAACCTCTGTAGCAATGAAATCTAGGACACTTTCTGTTTTTAATAAGGTTTCTGTACTGGCTTCTAGATTAGGCTGACAAAGATGGAGCAGTGGTAGAACAACTTCAAGCTTAGCGTTCATGTCTTGTAGTTGCTTCTGGAGGGTTATCAAGTCTTCCTTGTTTTTACGCGAAGTGTTATATAGCTCCGGTATGAGATCGACTACCTTAACTTCAGGACCTCTTTTATGGCTTGATGTCGAACCACTTAGTGAACGTGCTCTTTTAGTTGAGGCGCTAGGGTTAGGTTTAGGTGTATATATAGCACATATACGTTTGTTAGGGTGGACCATGGTGTGGCAGTAGTAGTTACTCGTTTATTGGGTTCGTCAATACCGAAGAACAAGTGAAGTAACCAGAAGTCACAGAAGGTTTAGCAACGACTTATGTATCAAATATGACAGTTGCTAGCGAGTGTTTCTTTACACTTCAGGCAACGTATATTGCGGAACTATTGTGTCTCGAAGCTAACAGCGTTGGTTCGTAATTAAACTGAGTGTTACAGACAAATAACTTTTCTTCAAGTTAGTCCTTGTTTTGACTTCCCTGTTTTCTCAGTAATTTCTTGGGTTCCGCTGTGTATATCAAAGTGGGTGTCTCTTTAACGTTCCAGAATAGGCGTATGATGCTCAGAAAGTTGAGTTTCTGAGAATAAGAAGCTATATATGCTCCGAGTCTTTCTTTTATACAGACAGATCTACTGTACGGCGGAAATTGCCGATATAGAATACCACGTTGTGCAGGAACAACGAAACGTAACTTTTGGTGCTCAAAAGTACTATATCAAACGGCTGGTAACGTTAAAGTTATAGTATAACAGATCACGTGCAAATGTAACGCAGGTTACGAACTCACCGGCGTAATAGTGTAGACTGCCTATCCTCACAGGCTCTATAAGAGCCACTTACTCGTTTCTAAATGACACCTACAGAGTTTGGTGGAACTCGACGCTGTGGTAGAAAGCTGGCCCAACATTCCTCATATATCCAGTTCATTATCTCAACTTGTTTCGGTCAAATAATTGCTAAAACCATTAACCGGGGCAGCATACGTCTGTTACATCGTAAAGGGCCCTCCAATCCACCCAGTACTTGAATATGGCACGGCCGTCTTCAGCAATATGTATCCTATGTATGCATATATGTATGTATGTATGTATGTATGTATGTATGTATGTATGTATGTATGTATGTATGTATGTATGTATGTATGTATGTATGTATGTATGTATGTATGATAGGATACTAATTGAGAATGTTCAAAGAAAGTTCACCCGCTATGTACTGGCCGTCTCGAAGAACTTGATCGTGAGGGAAGGTGTAAGAAACTGAAGATTGACCCACTTTGGCTAAGACGCCTTAAGCTCAACCTTAACCTATTCTTCCGCCTTTTGCATAGCATTACTCACGCCTGTTGCGCTCCTACTTTTAAGCCTATGTCCTCATATAGTCTACGCAATCGTGAATGCACAGTACCTGTGGAAAAGCGCCGTCTTAAACTTAGGTCACGATCCTTTATGTTACAGCACAGCAAGTTATGGAATAAGCTTCCACATTTTATTCGCTCTTGCATGTCTGCGTTTCAGTTTTGACGTCTACTCGACGAATTCCCTCTTTTCACGGATATCTACAAATTTCTTGACATTCATATTATATCCACAAATACGAAGCATAATGGAGCAATCGGCACATAACAATGGTCAGGCCATTGCGTCCCCTGTGTACGTTTTCAGACCTCGAAATGTAAGAATCGGTTTCATTGAAGCCCTGCGGTTCCTTTTATGTAGATGGCCTTACGATTGCACACAAGGGTATGAATACTGGCTCCTCTCCGTATAATGAACTAAAAGAATACCGTTTATCTCTCAGAGCCACGATGGTGCATCCCAAATACAGAGACTTTCAAGAACCTTACAATGGAAGGACTATGTAGTTGACTTCACACATATGAGTGAAAATGTACATAAAGTCCGAATAAGTCAAAAAATAGTGACTTCTCTCTTCTCCGTTTCGTGGGGCGAATCGTTAGGAACAGTGGTGGTCCCGGACCAGCAGAATCCTGACACTCCTCCTTGCTGCTTAGAAATCGTGATTCTGGCTGCTTTTGATTGTCCAATAACGGTGGAGCGGTAAACTGGGAGGAGTATCATTTCTACTTTGGCCATGACGTCTTGGTCTTACTTGATTTGCATGTGTCCTTCGAATTTCTGGACCAACTTGGGCCTCGTTTAGTACCCTCCCGATTTCATTTCCAGCCACTCCGATTTCCGACAGATTTTTGCAGTGGTAGCTTCTGACCGAAACCTTATCACCAGGACGGAATTTCATTTTCCGTCGTTGTCATTCGTTCCCTACTGCCTTAACTGCTGGCAACGTGGGGGCAAAAATCGTTCCTGTTCGGAGTGTTTCTATAGTCCACAAGAAATCTGTCGATGGTGGTTCTATCGTGTCATTTTCTTTCCCCTTCAATAAGACACGCTTAAATGTATCCACGAATCTTTGCACCAGGACATTTGGCTGTGAGTGGCGAGGTAGGGGAATGTATGCGCTGGATTGGCTAAAAAACCTAGAAGTGCTGTTGTCTACCATTATTATTTGCTACGGTTTCAGAAGCACTAGGGAGGCTAAACAAGCTAGCTGGCTAGGCTATTGCGGCTCCTATTGTGTATTGTGGCATATAGAAAGTTTCAGACCAGTTGCTACGCATATCAGCCACAATAATAAACATTTTGCCATGTATTGACTCGGCAAAGTCAGTATGAATCCTTGGCCATGGAGTTTCGGTTATCGGCCAGGTCAGAAAGCCAGGGACGCTGGTGGCTTTCCGCCTACTAATATGCGGCCCAGACGACTCGTCACATCCTTCTATTTCTTGATCCATATCAGGCCAGTACGTTCAGCTGTGTGCCGAGGATTTCATCCCAGTCATACCTAGATGACTATTACGAACCTGGTTCAGCACATTTTGAATAAATAAATAAATAAATATTTTACTCTCAGGTTACGGATTTAACATGGGAGGAACCGGTTTATAGACATCATCAAATTGGTAATTGCAGAGAAACATGAACGTTTTGAGTAGTTTTGAATGGTGCCTGGGGAGGATATTAAACTCTATCATGACATCAGGTGTCTAGATGTTATGAAAATGGCAGGAAAACACCACTTTACAGTGCATACATATCGTTCTGAGTTTAGATCATTCCTACTGACGATTCTTTTTTCACATCAAATGGCGCAATATTCAGTGTCTGCGCTATGAGTAGTCGATATGATTGACCTGCCTGCAAGACCCAGTGTTTCGTCGGATAAACGTCCATTTCAACAGTGCTTCATATGTTCTTAGCTTTATTGACCAACAATAACTTACTTCATGATTTCAGGGATAAGTAAGTATCCATACAATCATTTAATCCAGGTGAATATCTGAGTTCAAGAATTTCTTACTCTTCAAGTGTTGTCTTCCCAGCAACTCAGACTGGTGGTACTGGATTTATATGTTATGGAGCAAGGGATTATAGACCGGAAGAACAGTCGTTTAACAATGGTGAAGTTTACATAAACATAAAACTTCATAGACTTCATATTAGAGTATGCGGCATTGTTGAGGAGATACATTGGCTGTTAGCCGAATTCTATTAGATGGATTCAGAAAGGACAAATTACTGCAGAAATCTATTGCCTAGCATTACTACGGATGTGTTGCCATTAGGTAAAGCGACCTCTCGGGTTTCGTTGTTTATCCCGATTTCCCACTGAAATTGTGACGGACCAGAAATAAATGAATAAATGTTTTATTCTCGCGTTAAAAAAAGGTTTCTAACATGAGAGAAGCCAGTTTACAGGCTAAATCACGTTGATACATCTCAAAATATCTACAGGACTAAGAGTCCTGGGTGGTGCTGACGGAATGTCATTAAACTCGGTTGAAGGCAGCCGGAGATCCTGCTGGTTATGAAACGAACAAGGAATCATTACTTCACAGCGTACATAAAGTGTTGAAGTTTAGATAATAATAAATATTGTCTTCATCTAACAGGTCTAACATGAGGGATACCAGTTTACAAGCACCCTCAAATTCATAACTTTTGAAAGTATCTAGCATTAAATAATTTGCATATCAAGTCATTAGTGTGTATAATCTTGTTAAAATTTACTGAAATTCATGAGACGGATATGGATTCCCATCTCCCATCTCACAGACAGGTTCCACTATCACTATCAAAAGCACGCAGTGTTCAAAGTTTGCGTTATAACCAACCGACGTTGTTATTCCATTCGCATAGTTTGCTGATTAGTAAGATAACAGTTTATTCCTTAGAATGACCTTCAGTCTTTAGTTCGCTAACCACAAAGGACCCATTTATGCAATCTGCAGTATCAATAAACTATCCACAGTTATATACCGACATGTATGGCCATATCAATGCAGGTCACCGTGTTACGTTTAAAGGTAATACAGATTAGTTCTGCCGGGAATACTTTTTGTATTGGATGAAAATAGATGTTGAAACAGTCAATAGTCCATAGACTTCGAGTACCTTTTGTATTAGCATAGGCGGCATCATTCGAGAAGTGTATTTGATGCGTAGTAAGTTCCATATGAAAAGGTCTCTTGGTACAGAGTACTAGAATTTGTGTAGTGTGGAGCCATTGCAGGTAGGTGACGTCCTGAGCCAATATGTTAATTGGTCACTGGTTTATTCATCTGTTCGGAATTTCTCTGCTACTAATACTGCTGAGAATGGTCAGACGGTTCGTTGCAAGAAAAATCATGACCAGTAGGTGAGTTAATCTTGAAGGTGGTCCACAATTTGCGAGAGAGTGGGAGCAGTCCAATAGCTATTGGCATCAATGAGCAGGTGTTATTCCCATAAAGTAATCATGTTCAGACTGAATTTGAACATCAAATGTCGACTTGCAGCTGTTTCTGCAAATGGGGGAGGAAAGAAGAGGCACGAGCAGATAAGGAAAGAGAGATTACTACGTTGTCAAATTTGAGGAAGAGAGAAGTCCTTATTCTTTTTCGATTTATTCGGACTTTATGTACATTTTCACTCATATGTGTGAAGTCAACTACATAGTCCTTCCATTGTAAGGTTCTTGAAAGTCTCTGTATTTGGGATGCACCATCGTGGCTCTGAGAGATAAACGGTATTCTTTTAGTTCATTATACGGAGAGGAGCCAGTATTCATACCCTTGTGTGCAATCGTAAGGCCATCTACATAAAAGGAACCGCAGGGCTTCAATGAAACCGATTCTACATTTCGAGGTCTGAAAACGTACACAGGGGACGCAATGGCCTGACCATTGTTATGTGCCGATTGCTCCATTATGCTTCGTATTTGTGGATATAATATGAATGTCAAGAAATTTGTAGATATCCGTGAAAAGAGGGAATTCGTCGAGTAGACGTCAAAACTGAAACGCAGACATGCAAGAGCGAATAAATGTGGAAGCTTATTCCATAACTTGCTGTGCTGTAACATAAAGGATCGTGACCTAAGTTTAAGACGGCGCTTTTCCACAGGTACTGTGCATTCACGATTGCGTAGACTATATGAGGACATAGGCTTAAAAGTAGGAGCGCAACAGGCGTGAGTAATGCTATGCAAAAGGCGGAAGAATAGGTTAAGGTTGAGCTTAAGGCGTCTTAGCCAAAGTGGGTCAATCTTCAGTTTCTTACACCTTCCCTCACGATCAAGTTCTTCGAGACGGCCAGTACATAGCGGGTGAACTTTCTTTGAACATTCTCAATTAGTATCCTATCATACATACATACATACATACATACATACATACATACATTCATACATACATACATACATACATACATACATATATGCATACATAGGATACATATTGCTGAAGACGGCCGTGCCATATTCAAGTACTGAGCGGATCATTACCTTGAATAAAAGCAGTCTGGCCTCAGTGGTATGTACGTGTTTAAGGAAAAGCCCAAATGAGGGCCTACACTTGGAGTCAAGTGACTGGGTATATTCCGTAACCGTTAAGTTCCGAGAATACCTAATACGTAAATCACATACTGAGTTATAAGATTGCAGCACAGAATCGCCAAGGTGTAGGGCGACGTTTGGATAAGAGTTATTGAAACAGAGAATTCTGCATTTACTAGAGTTAAGTGGAAGTTGCCTTGTTTCACTCCAGGCGAGCAAATTCATCAGATCTTCCTGGATTCTATTAAAACTCTCACTTAGCGATGAGTGGGGAAAGCTGTACACGATTTTTAAGTCGTCAGCAAACAGGTAGGGTTTACCATTTTTTATCACGTTAGAAATATCCCTTTTGTAAAGGAGGAAGACTAAGGGCCCCAACACACTACCTTGAATGACGCCTTTCAGAATAATCTGTGGGGAGGAATAGGTGCGACTGAACTTTACTATTTGATAACGCTGCCTAAGGAATGAGCTTATCCACGAAAATAGATGGTCACTAATTCCAAATGAATGAAGCTTAAGAATTAACCGATTATGAGGCACTTTATCAAATGCTTTTTTGAAGTCAAAAAATAGAGCAGTTACGAAAAGACCTTCATCTCGTCTGCGGGTGACCTCCTCAAAATAATCCAGTGGGCAAGTACTACATGAACTACCTTTTAAGAAACCATGCTGCATGGGGAAAAGTAGCTGGCGCGCAGCCACGTAATCACTGATTTCTTGCACAACCACCTTCTCCATGATACGAGAGACTACATATGTAATATTCATGGGACGATAATTCTGAATTTCTGGCGTCGGCCCAGATTTACACGTGAGAGATATGTAAGGCAGCTTCCAGCGGTCACGATAGCATGCCTCAGTAAGGGATATTGAGAGTAGCTTCATGAGGATCAACGGTATGTCTTCACCACCCCTCTTAATGAGAACAGACAGGATACCATCGGGTTCTCCAGTAAAGCAACTGCATCACCTATCTTCCTCTGTGCAAAGGAAACACTACTTAGCGAGTGGTGTGGTGGAATGGGTATTTGTATCCTTAATACACTATTTTCAAGCATGAGGCAGCTTGCATGATGTTTACTAAACAGCTGACAGATCTTACTTGGGTCATCATAAAGAATGTCCCCATCAATGATCAGACTACTGGGAATAACTCTAGATAAGTTTGCACGGGATTTTAGAATTCTCCTGATCATTGAGCATTGCCTGTTTGTGCATTGCAGCTAGTTTCTTGCTTGATTGCCTTCAGTAACTTATTTGATTAGAAGTTTTCATGAGCAATTTTTAATGAGACAAGGGATGAAAAGTCATCAGATCGATAGAAATTTCTGGCATGTCTGCATATGCTGATACGTACATTTTCAGGGATGAAATTCACTTTCGGCTTTCTAATTAATACTGATACCTCCGGAGTAATATGATCGTGAATTACATTCATGGAACCGTAGAAGATGCCACTTAGTTTGCAGGTTGAGCTACTGGTGAAACAAGAACCCTAGTCCAAGGATCACAACATGTGTTGTATTTCTTCCCAGATGGTGTTTTTATACCGTCTAACTGTGGTTGTTTTTGACCTGGGAGCTATCGTAATTCTGGGAGATAGTTGGAAGTCATCAAACACCACTCTGTGATTGCTGCCCGGGAATTCTGGACCAACTTGAAGAGTGAAAGGCAATAATCCATTCGTGAAAACTAGGTCAAGTGTGCTATTATGTCTAGTTGGTTGCATTACA